CCGAGCGGGGCTGCGTCTCCCACCGGCGAACAGCAGAGCGGCCAAATTCCATGCTGTTCAGCGGCCCAACAGCACCGCCCCCCCGCCCCGCCTGCCTCTCCTATCGGGAATATTGTTCAGGCGAGTTGTACAGGCCTTCTCGCGCGAGGCTCCCCTCTCGCCCCGCTCTCTATGGCTCTTGTGCTCGTAAATTTATTCAAAATCTGCATAAATTTGAATACTAAGAAGAGCGCGGGGTCGTTACCTCTCCCCCCGATCAGACCCCAAGACGAGCGATGGAAAATTGTAGAGTTCATAAAAGCAATAACGCAGACGCGGCCATTATCTTGTTACAAGTTGCTTGAAAAGTTCCTGAGAGCAAAATTTACGATAATTCAACAGAGTTGTGATTTTGGACGTGGATGTTCGTAATGGAGATGGATGGACCTCAATCTGACAAGACAAGCGTCTCACGATTCGCCGCCATCTTGGAAAACAAAGCAACAACAGCCAGCGTGTTTACCAACATCTTTGCCAGGAGTGTCTTCATTTTTTCGAAGCGAGTTCAGTCCATAAGCAACCTACTCCGCGCCATTGCAAAGGGGAGTGGGCGGGTCGCGGGAGCGCCAAAGGTGTGGTCGTCCATATGCAAAGGTCAACTTACAAAAGTTTCCTCTGACCTCGCGACCCGCGCCTGAGTGACCCGGGCAGCAGCTCTCTTAATGGATATCACACCATTTTTGTGAAAGAAGCACTATCTATTTTTGTTACGCGATTCTTCTTTTTTACATCTTGCCTATTGCACTTGCATTAAATTGGGAAATATATTGCAACATTTAAGTTACAGCAAAGGTGCTTACACGTCAGCGCTTTTTTCCATGATATGAACACGTACATATCGTTCCTTGCGATGACGAAGCATCTTGCGATCATGAATTTCAACAAACATTTAAAAGATAATATAAATGATTGAAACCTGCGTACATATGAGCTCCGGGCATCCCTACGGGATTCAGTCCGCCTCCGAGACTGCCTTAATTGAGATACGTGCGAGGGACGTCTAAACAGCACTCCTTGTTACAGACTGTTAGTCATTCAGCAGCTGGCATCCCGTGGTGGACGTGGCTGATGCACGATGATTAAGGCGCTACACGACTACCGAGCGCCCGTGTATTATCCTCGTGAGATTTTTGCTGGCCGGTCCTCCTCCTCCTTCGCCGTCAGGACCGCCATCTCGGTCTGGAAGCAGTTCGGGTTTCCATGCGGCGCTGCACAAAACGCGGGACCATTTTCTTTTTCGAAGTTCATACAAATTTTGTAGCTCCACCGACGATGACTTTCTAATGGACAAACCGCACTGTTTACATTTCGTATTGTAACCGGAACTTGCTGTCTCTCGGCCTCAACCGTGTATTTGCATGTTTAATATCGCTTCCCAAACAAGACAGCTTTCATCATGACTGCAACTGCAAATGCTGTTGATAAAAAATACGGCCTCTGCATCCCACGAGGAGACGCATTCAGTGCATGGCGCGTCATTCGCTCTGTGCCATGATTAAAGCGGTGCCAGCGAGAGCCAGGCGCAGTCCCGAAGACGAAATTTGCTCGATTTTTAAAATTCTCTTCGCGGACATTTTTTTGCCAGTTCTCCGCTCCTGAAACAGGCTACTCATTTTCGAAAGGTTTGCCAAAAAAATCGAGCTTCTCGCCAAATTAAGAATGATTTATGGAGGTTTATGGTATGTAGCAGGACATTCTAAGACTTTTTTTTTCTAAAATCGCACAAAAATGAATAAAGATAATATATAAAAAGGAAAAAGCCCGGATCTGCAAGGCCGAATCATCCAGTTGGGAAACCCAGACGGCATGACAGCAGGTGCCTTCGCGGCCATGTTCTTCACCTTGGTAGCACTCGAAGCAGAACAAAGCCAAAATGATAAAAGAGAGCGAGATGTGCAGGAACTACGAACGCGCGGAGAAAGGAGGAAAAAAAGAAAGGCTCAGTGGCATTGCATCAGATTGCAGGACCTTATTTGTGACGTCATTGCAATTCGTTCGGTTACAGTGTAACTGCGCTACCTGTAGAGTACCGTTAATCCTGTAACTGACACCGTCTGGTAAACAGCGTCTCGTCTGCGAGTATTCCTGTGCCGTATTTGTGTGCGATTCTTGTTGCAAGTATGCATAAGGATGTTCGCGTGTCTGCGGTCATGTGCACGTGTGTGCTTATGGGTGCATGCCCAGTTTATAGTTGTTTTTACTCATCAATTTAATCGTTTTATGCCGGCGTGGGTATCTGCATGAAGGTGTGATGCAAACCTACACTTTGTGTGTGAATAGGAGCTTCAAAGTGCTGCCGATGAAATTTCTTTGTGTCTATGCATAAGGCCAGACACGTACACGAATGGTGTACATGGTCTTGGGAGAATCGAACACCGCGGTAATATTCTTTAGGGAAAGGAATACGAAACGGAGCCTTGGTGTCTTCTGGAGTCCTCGCTTCAGGGATCCCTTTGGAGCC